TGCGCACTATTATTTAATAACAATAGTAATATCTCATTGTGTTACAAATTTTCCAAGACAAATTGATTTTATAATAATCAAGGAACAAAGAGAAATATCATTTGATTGGTGCATTCCCACCACGAGTGTGCTGAACGTGTCGCAAAACACAGCCGTCAGACTTGACAAAGCACAATGCTTACATGAGCTAATTAATAATTGTGGTAACACTGTCGACTAAATAGTTTTTTTTAGCAATGAATTTAATCAACTTTTACACGTTTGATTGCGACCTAAATAATTGCTGTAACTTTTTATTTCAATCACTCTTTAAGTAAAAAGAAAATCTTAATCTACTTGAATTGTCTGTACTTACAAATTAATAGCATAATTCCGAATGAATAAAATCACAACGAATATAAAATAAAAATCTAGAAGAATAATAATATTTTTTAAAATCTCGAGGATACAGTTGTATTGTGAAGCAGAGAATCGGTTCCAATATATTATCCGAAAATGTTAAATATTTATTTTAAAATCTATAACTTATTTTGTTCGATTCTGCGATATTATGGAATCACACTCTGCCGATTTGACCTTTCGTCCATCTCTTTCCCTATCCAACCCCCAAACACGAAGAAGAAGAAGCGAACTCCCAGACGAAAACTTTCCCGGGAAAACTCCAGAAAACGGTTACAAAAAATGTGCGAGCCCGATGATAACACCGCCAGAAACGGCGTCACGCCTCCGTCATCAAGGTCAAGGGAGCTTCTGATGGATGTCGACGACTTAGATCTCGACGGTTCGTGGCCTCTCGATCAGATCCCTTACTTATCCTCATCGAACCGCATGATATCTCCGATTTTCGTCTCCTCGTCCTCCGAGCAGCCTTGCTCTCCTCTCTGGGCGTTCTCCGACGGTGGAGGAAACGGTAATCACGGTGGGGATGATGAGAAGATCGGTTCCGCGTCTGGTGTTCCTTCTTTCCGTATCGCTGATTATCCTCTCTTCTTACCTTGTTAGTATACTCTCGCTGAACTTTGTTTTCGTTCTTTCCCGATATAGAATATGTAGTTTCTATTTTAAGCTTGTTGAACTTCCGATCGTGGAATTTGAATTTATAGTTACTGTTTAGGGATTGAACAGAGATTTTAGTTAATTGATTTGATTGATTTGATTTGATTTAGTGTTTGACTTTGGTCTGTGGTGAATTTTTTTAGTATCTATTTGAATTTTTTGCAGATTCTTCTTCACAATCAGTGCCTGAGAACAACAACACGGAGAAGCATAGCAGTTTCCAGTTTCCTTCTCCGTTGATGAGCCTAGTCCCGCCGGAGAACGCAGACAACTACTGTGTGATCAAAGAGAGGATGACTCAGGCGCTGCGTTACTTCAAAGAATCAACCGAACAACACGTTTTGGCTCAGGTCTGGGCTCCTGTGAGAAAGAATGGTCGTGATTTGCTGACGACTTTGGGTCAACCTTTTGTTCTTAATCCTAACGGTAACGGCCTTAATCAATACAGGATGATCTCTCTCACGTATATGTTTTCTGTGGATAGTGAAAGTGACATTGAGCTCGGGCTCCCGGGTCGGGTTTTCCGTCAGAAACTGCCTGAGTGGACGCCGAATGTTCAGTACTATTCCAGTAAAGAATTCTCGCGGCTTGACCATGCTTTGCACTATAACGTGCGTGGTACGCTGGCCTTGCCGGTTTTTAATCCCTCTGGTGAGTCCTGCATAGGGGTTGTGGAACTTATTATGACCTCGGAGAAGATTCACTATGCACCCGAAGTGGATAGAGTTTGCAAAGCCCTTGAGGTTTGGTTCTCTTTCCTTACTTCTGCACATAAATCAGCCTTGCTCTGTTTGTTATTTTATCTGAATTGATTTAGAGAACTTTGTGTGAATGGACTTGAGTTTTAAGTTGCAATTCTTTACTTGTGAGTTATGTGTATAAAAGTTTTTTTTTTGTCTTCTGGTCCCCCATTTTGAAGCTCTTCTCCTCCAAAGCACAGTTTGTTCATTGATAATAACGACAAATGTATATTAGTTCCTTGCTGTATCTATTTAGTTCTAGCTTCTTCAATATCTGCTGTTATGATGTATCCAGATAGTTCTCTGTTTTTTTGGTTTGCTGCAGCTTTTAATCAATGTTATGTACAGAGTGATATATTCCTAATTCCTCATTAATGATAAAAAGATTTGTTCATTTTGGCAGGCTGTTAATCTGAAAAGCTCAGAAATACTTGATCACCAAACCACTCAGGTTAGCTACAAGTATCATTTTGTGATTTGATGAGAACCATTTAGGAACTTGTTCTCACTGTTTTTACTTAACTTTGTATTCGCAGATATGCAATGAGAGTCGCCAAAACGCACTTGCGGAGATTCTAGAAGTACTAACAGTTGTATGCGAGACCCATAACTTACCTCTGGCTCAAACTTGGGTTCCATGCCAGCACGGGAGTGTTCTCGCCAATGGTGGCGGTCTAAAGAAAAACTGCACCAGCTTTGACGGTAGTTGCATGGGCCAAGTCTGCATGTCCACAACCGACATGGCCTGCTATGTCGTGGATGCTCATGTCTGGGGCTTTAGAGATGCCTGTCTTGAACACCATCTCCAGAAAGGACAGGGAGTCGCTGGACGAGCTTTTCTCAACGGTGGCTCGTGTTTCTGCAGAGACATCACCAAGTTCTGCAAAACGCAGTACCCGCTGGTCCACTACGCGCTCATGTTTAAGTTAACCACTTGTTTCGCAATCTCTCTCCAGAGCTCTTACACAGGCGACGACAGTTACATTCTTGAGTTCTTTCTTCCTTCGAGTATAACAGACAACCAAGAGCAAGATTCGCTGCTGAGTTCTCTTTTGGTGACAATGAAAGAACATTTTCAGAGTCTGAGGGTTGCATCTGGGGTTGACTTTGGTGAAGATGACGACAAATTGTCTTTTGAGATCATCCAAGCATTACCGGACAAGAAAATCCATTCAGAAATAGAATCCATTCGAGTTCCTTTTTCTGGTTTCAAGTCAAACGCGACAGAGAAGCTGTTAATTCCTCAGCCTGCCGTTCAGTCGTCTGATCCAGCGAACGGCAAAACCAACGGGACCCCTGTTAATGGTGTGGTTAAGGAGAAGAAGAAAACAGAGAAAAAGCGTGGGAAGACTGAGAAAACGATCAGCCTTGATGTGCTTCAGCAGTATTTCACAGGAAGTCTCAAAGACGCTGCAAAGAGCCTAGGAGGTAACTAATATGTACATTTTCATGTTGTGGTTAGTTACTACCTATAAATCTTTTAATCTGAACTCTATTGTTGTTCTCAGTTTGCCCGACGACAATGAAGAGAATTTGCAGACAACACGGAATCTCGCGGTGGCCATCGAGAAAGATCAAGAAAGTGAACCGCTCAATTACAAAGCTGAAACGAGTCATCGAATCTGTTCAATGTACTGATGGAGGCATCGACCTGACTTCCATGGCCGTTAGTTCCATCCCTTGGACACACGGTCAAACAGCAGCACAGCCACTAAACTCACCCAACGGTTCCAAACCGCCCGAGCTACCAACCACCAACAATTCACCTAACCACTGGTCAAGTGAACACAGTCCTCCCGGGCCAAACGGTTCGCCTGAGTTACCAAGCAATGGTCATAAGCGGTCACGGACGGCGGATGAGAGCGCTGGGACCCCAACCTCTCACGGTTCATGTGATGGTAATGGTAACCAATTAGATGAAACAAAAGTCCCAAACCAAGAGCCGGTGTTCACGGTGGGTGCACCACAGGGGCTATTCTTTCCACCTTATTCTAGAGATCATGACGTATCCGCAGCATCATTCTCAATGCCGAACAGGCTTCTTGGTACTATAGACCATTTCCGAGGAATGCCCATTGAAGACGCTGGAAGCTCCAAAGATCTGAGAAATCTCTGCTGCACTACAGCATTCGATGACAAGTTTCCGGACTCAAACTGGATGAACAATGATAATAACAGCAACAACAACATGTACGTTCCTCCAAAAGAAGAGGCAGTGGCAAATATTACAGGCGAACCACCATCAGGCTCAGAAACAAGAACGGTAACCATCAAAGCAAGTTACAAAGAAGACATAATACGGTTCAGGATATCATCTGGTTCAGGTCTAATGGAATTGAAGGAAGAAGTGGCGAAGAGGCTGAGACTTGATGCTGGAACGTTTGATATCAAGTATCTTGACGACGACAATGAATGGGTGTTGATAGCTTGTGATGCTGATCTTCAAGAATGTCTCGAGATCCCTAGATCCTCCCGTACTAATATAGTACGGCTCCTAGTTCATGATGTTACAGCGAACCTCGGGAGCTCTTGCGAGAGTACAGGAGAATTGTGACCCGAGTACGAGGTAAAGGTAAATTCTTTACGACTTTTGTAAATAGTGTACCTTGTTTTTAAACTGTCTAGAGGTTGTTTGTTATTGTTTTTTCTATTGTTTGTGGGGTTTATTTTGGGGACCAAGCAAGAATGTGTATGTGGGGGAACAAAGTGTAAGAAAAAACATTTGTTTGTAACTGTAAGTGGGAGAGTGAGGTGTTAGAAGTCAATTGTAGTTGAAAACTAACTCCAAACATGTGTTTTGGTATTTTAATTTTGAACTGTAAACAAGAATCACAGAAGAAGTCTAAAAAGAAAGGGGAAAACGAATTCTTGCATGTGTTAAGGTCTCTACTTTAAGATTCAAAATCTTAGTCAGTTGGTTAAAACTCTCAACCACAATTAAACTCCAATGATACATCATTTTGCAAGATGCAGGTCATGAATAAATATGTTTATAAAAGGGGAAAATTAAAAAAAGTTATAAAAAAATTGCGCATCCAGGGAATCGAACCCTGGTCAGTACCGTGGGAGGGTACTATGATACCACTACACCAGATGCGCTTGTCTGACTATTATTAGTAGCGTATATATCTCTACTTTACGAATGCTCTTACTCGTCAAATGACTTTAGCATTTGAGATCGTCAAAAATCATCAAACGGACAAACCCCAACCAAATCTCTTCTCCTCTCTATCGAATTCCCAATCACACCACCGATCGTCTTCGTCTTCTAACACCCTAACCGGATCTGGAGGCAATGGACAGCGTAAGCACCAACGTTAGCACGACAACAACTTCCATGGAGAAGATCGATCAGGCAGCGAGCTGGGTCAGCGCCACGATCATCTCCGCTTTCTTCGCCTCCCTCGAGCGTTGCTCCTGCGTCAATCTCTCAACCTCCCATGACGATGAAGAAGAATACGACGAGGAATCTCACAACCGTCCCCTTGCTCTCTCCGCCGCTCCTCATTCCAACGACACCGTTTAAGCTCCATGATTAGTAATTAAAATCATTTCGTGTGTTTTTTTTTATTTTGCGTCCTCTAATGATCGATAAGCATGCATTGTGTTGTGTGTAATGGTAATGGAAATTTCAGACTCTTTTGAATTTGTTTTTCTTTTGTTGTGATTCTCAGATGCTCTTTATCTATTTGTGTTGATGATCTTACATGAGTTTTAAATTAATAAACATATGTTTGATGTTTTGAATTTAACATATGCAGTCAAGTTCATTTGTCTGAAGTTTACTTTGTTGATCAGCCTCTTGATTTGCGTTTTTCATTTTCGATATTTTTTTTTTGTAACTCTGTTCAAGACTTGAAGTGTTTTTAAAACAAATACATGTGTTGTGTCACGTTCCTTTTGTATAGACTTGTTTGCGTGACACAAGGACCATCAGGTTGTTATTCGTTTTACTGTTGCAAGATTGATTGTGCGACCGATTACTGAAAAAAATTAACGACTATTATTTTTTCTGCAAGGTTTCAAATCGCATGAAACGAACAATATTTGATCGCAAGTCGTATATCACAAGTCGCAGAACATGCAACAACGAAACGAGTAACATTTTGGTTGTAGGTGGATGCGACATGCAAACAAACAAGGCTAATTAGTAGTTCCAAATTAACGAAACGTAATTTAAAGAAACTCTATTTATTTATAGTGGCTCTGCCTAGCTGACTAGATCGTGGAATTCAATGCGGTCACGGAGTAAATGTCGTGCTTAATTTGAGTTACCCAAGATTTTGTTTGCTTTAGCTCGATTCAAAGGATTCTTCCCATATAGTGACAATATTGTTTAAACGTCGTTGTCATGAAAAAACAAATCTATTATATGACCATCCATGTGAGTCATTCTCACTAGGTATCCAGTCATTCAAAGCTAAGTTATGGAAAGATCAATGTTTAATTTTGTTCTTTGAGTTTCTTTGAATATAGATTCTTGAAATGGATCTCCGATGTCTACACCAATTGATGAAGATTAACAATGACTCTACAAGTGCTACAACTCCATTGGATCTTGCATCCATGTGTTGGGTGCGTATCATTTCGATTTAGTGTTTAGCGAATTATTTTAAGATGTTACATCATTTGTTTATATCATGAGAAGTTTTAATCGTGTCCGGGTTTAGCATGCTTCCTCTAATCTAGAAAAAAAGTAACCTCCCATGATGATGTGTATGCTTTCTCTATAAGCTAAAATCTTTAATAATTTAGACCAACAATAACTTCCTAGGTGCCCCGTGATTACTTCTTACTTTATTAAAAGACGTATTTTCAGAAATTTCGGTTTTCTGATAGGTTCGTATTGAATTTGCTAATAGGTCTACAGGTTCGTTTTTAGCATATTGTTAGAAAGATTCCAAACCAAACAAATTTAATCGTTATACATCCTGACACAACCAATCAAAATCACCCGTCTGACTCAGCCAGACGAGTTTAGTGGTATATATAATTTCCAAAACAAGCTCCTCTTTCCTTTTTCGTATCCGTTCTTCTTAAAAAAAAACCTAGTCAAAAGTTACCTTTGGTAATGAATCCACACAAACATAACCATAGTCCAATCTCTACACTTTCCCCCTCATCTCCTTATAAATTCCTCCTCTCTTTTCATCTCCTTGCTACCCCAATAAACCTTAAACGACAACGTTTCACTTCTCTGTTGCTGATCTTCTTGTTCCTCTGTTTGTCTACTTCTATGGCAGATTCAGACACGGGTCCTGTTGTTCAAACCACCCCACTCGTCACCTTCCTCCAGCGCGTGCAACTCACGGCAATCAGATCATACTCAAAGAAACTTGACCCGAAATTCTACATTGACCTATCTCTCAAGGTCCCTCACGATCTCTCCTCCGCAGAATCTGCCTTCAAGGACCTCACGAGCGGGTCACGTGACATGTCGGTGCCAGTGGAGAAGCTTGAGAAGTTCGTCCACGAGTACTTCCACGATGCAGGGGTGGATCTTGTGCACCACGAGCCAGAAGACTTCATCTCAGATCCCACCGAGTTTCTCCTCAACGTGGAGAACGAAAAAGTCAGAGCATGGGCGCGTGAGGTACACGGCCTGTGGAGAACCCTGAGCTGCAGAGTCTCTGACTCAGTCATAAAATCACCTGACCGGCACACGCTTCTTCCGTTACCGGAACCGGTTATCGTTCCCGGTTCGAGATTCAGAGAAGTCTATTACTGGGATTCTTACTGGGTCATCAAGTCAGTCTTCATCAACTTTTTCAAACTATTGTTTTTTCTTTCTATAATTAATTATTTTTATATTTCCGTGTTGACTACGGAACACGAGCTCACGTGTCGATGTCGTGTGTTTGTGTGCTTTTTGCACGTGTAGAGGACTTTTGACGAGTAAAATGTTCACTACGGCCAAAGGTTTAGTCACGAATCTGATGTCACTTGTGGAGACTTATGGTTACGCTTTGAACGGTGCTAGAGCTTATTATACTAACCGAAGGTAAAACAAAATCAAGATTCTTCGTGAAGTGTAATGTAACAGAAAGTTAAATGTTTTTTTTTTTATATTTGTTACAAGCCAACCACCTCTATTGAGCTCAATGGTCTATGAGATTTATAAAGTAACCAAAGATGAAGAACTTGTGAGGAAAGCTATTCCTGTGCTTCTCAAAGAGTATGAGTTCTGGAACTCAGGTTAGTTTCTTAGTTAAGTTATGTAATGATTTGATGTTTTAAATATTAGATGTAATCATGTGAGGTTCGTTATGTTATGTTATTGTTTTTAGGAAAGCATAAGGTGATTATTCGAGACGCTAGTGGCAATGCTCACATTTTAAGCCGCTATTACGCCATGTGGAACATGCCTAGACCTGAATCCTCTGTTTTCGTATGTTTCTTGTCTCATTACCGCAAAGTAAACTATGTAATATATATTGACTCTCTTTTATCTAATCGCTGTGTGTGCCACAGGATCAAAAATCAGCTTCGGGGTTTTCGACTACGTTAGAGAAACAACGGTTCCATCGAGATATAGCTACGGCTGCTGAATCAGGATGTGACTTCAGCACGCGGTGGATGAGGTTAAATTAATCATCAAAACTGTGACTAGACTCGTTTATATTAATGTCACTCTTTAATCAATCTCAATAATGTTATGTGCAGACATCCTCCTAATTTCACAACGATGGCTACAACATCAGTTGTTCCTGTTGATCTAAATGTCTTTCTTCTCAAGGTTTTGTTTACTTTCTTTATCAAGTTATGGTTCAAGATTGTACATGAATATGCTTGAGCCTTGAAATAATTTTCTTTGTACCGTAGATGGAACTTGATATAGCGTTCATGATGGAGATCACTGGGGACAAAAACGGTTCAGAGCGTTTTGTTAAAGCGTCAGAAGCGAGAAAGAAAGCGTTTGAGACCGTGTTTTGGAACGAAAAAGCAGGGCAGTGGCTAGACTATTGGCTTTCCTCCAGTGGTGATGTAAGTTAAGAGAATCTTTATTAGTTACATTGTCGGATCTCTGATGGTATTCAAAACATTGAGAACACGTTTGTGTCTTCAGGAGCCTGAGGCATGGATAGCTGCGAACCAGAACAACAATGTTTTTGCATCTAACTTTGCTCCAATCTGGCTTAGTACCTTCCATTCAGGTAAACTATGTCTACATGTTGTTATATGCACACATGATTTTGTATATGAACGTTTAATCTTGTAACATGTAGATGAAAATCTTGTCAAGAAAGTTGTCAAGGCTCTTGAAAACTCAGGACTCATTGCTCCAGCTGGAATCCTAACCTCTTTGACAAACTCGGGACAACAATGGTAAATGAAATTACTTGTGGTTCAAGTTCCACTTTGAAACTTTAAATTTACTGATGAAGCATTTTTAATGTTGAGATTTTCTTGCAAATGTATAATAGGGATGCTCCTAATGGATGGGCACCACAACAAGAAATGATTGTTACAGGACTCGCGAGATCGGGTCTAAAGGAAGCTAAACAGATGGCAGAGGATATTGCAAGGAGATGGATAAGAAGCAGCTATTGTGCTTACAAGACAAGTGGGACTATTCATGAGAAGCTCAATGTTTCAGAGTTTGGTGCATATGGTGGTGGAGGAGAATATAAGCCACAGGTATAACAATTTTTATCTTGAGCTATCTTCTTCAACTTTTTTGTATTAGTGCTATTAGGAGGGTCTAAAATGCACAAACAGGTATATCAGGGCTTAAATTAAATTGTGGGTGATGTTTGAGGGCATGATTTTCTGAACTTTGTTGATTTTTATCTTGCAGACGGGGTTTGGATGGTCAAATGGAGTTATATTAGCATTCTTGGAGGAATATGGATGGCCCTCTGACCTGAGCATTGAACCGTAGATTTACCACTTGTGTATTAAACATGAAATAAAGGAATTACTTCGTATATTTAAATTTTATTAGAACTTTATGATAGTGGTAATTAAATCGTAGTTTTAGTTTTGGTGTATCTGTTTGGGGTTTTCAGTCAGAATGTTTAGAGTTCCAGAGATCGATAGAATCATCACACATTCATACCAACTTATGATCGGTTTCACTCTAGTTCATCTTTATTTTCCAATAAAAAGAATTAGGCAAACGATAAAATGAATTGCCCGGAGAGGCTATGACATTTTGTACAATATAACCAAAAAAACCCAACGATTCTTCATAAAATCATCCCACATTTGGTTCACGCCATACAACCTTTTTTTTTGTGCAAACTAAAATTTATGAGTGTTAAAACAAAGAAACCAAGTTTGACAACGGTTTACGTTGTTCAACCTATTAGAACCACTCAATATATATAGAAAATACAATAGTTGTATATTAAACTAAAGTCTTATTCCAGGAAACTTTTAAAAACTCAGTGAAGCATTGACATTGTTGGTCGAATACTGCATGGGAAAAAGAACATAATAGTATAAATCTATGAAAGATCAGTAGTGATCCAAAAATACCATGACATTTCATTGCTGCAACGTCCAATGCCTGCCCAGCTATAGGCCAATAGCCTATACCCATGTCCACATACTAAGTCGAGAGCACACTAAAGCAATTCACATTAAAATTTATGATCATAAACCTAAGGAATCTAACACTTAATTTGGTGTTATATGAGTTGCTGGATTGAAATGGTGAGTGGAGGCTAAATTATTCATAGATGCTAATTAAGTAATTGATTAATGGCTATTGCGTATCAAAAAAGTAAATGATTAGTCAAATATAGTTGGCAAACAAACATATACTTAGTATATGATTTTCCCTTAATCAGCAGTTATTTAATCTAAGCTGGAAAAGGTTTATATAAGTTGGAAAAAGTTGATCATAATCAGAATCTCGGTACTGATGAATCAGATGTACCCGACGAATCCTAATAGAAAATTTGAGATAATGGGTCGGTCATTTTATAAAAGGGGATTATTTAGACTACTGGCTATGAACTTAAAATCGAATTAGAAAAAGTACAAACTGGGAATAATGGTTAATAGTTTAGATTATGACAACGGATGATGCATAGAGAGAATCTTCCGGCCAAGTAGGGATTGTTTTTTTTGCTGGTCAAAATTCATTTTGTTTCCCAAAACCCATGTGCACTTTCTCATTAGTCAAACTTAAAGATGTTTAAGTTTGGAAATAAATAAAAACCATTTAGGTGCCTACACATATGAATCATTTACTGATTATGTTTTCCATTTCAGATTTCTTTCAATATATTCATATATACGACTACGTGATATACGAATGGATCTATGAACGTAGGAGCTGGACAATGAGTACCATTAGGTGTTGAACATTTGCATTTTAGCTGCTTAGCCTCCTCCCCGTTAGATATGACAGTTGTAGTGTGCACTTCGTGATTAACTAATCAATTTATCAACTTATTTAATATTAAAAGGATTGCTCAAAAAAAAAAAAAAAATTTAATATTAAAGAGAAAAAAATTTCTCACCTACACGAAGTTTACACTAATATGGTGGAAACCATCCAATGTATAAAAATGTGTCAAGAACTACACGAAGTATGTGTTAATACATGCCACATGTACGAAGTAAATGATATTATGGTGGTAACATCACAATCAGATTTAATTGTTCTTAAGCTAAGTTAATGGGGTCAATCCATAATTTATGAAACTTAATAAACTTAATTGATTTTAATTATTACAGTTAATAAAATTAATAAACTTAATAAACATAATATTTTTTAAAACTTAATAAAATTAATAAACTTAATATTTTTTGTTAAACTTAATAATTTTTTTAAACTTAATTAATTTATTAAACTTAATAAATTTATTAAACTTAATAAAATTATTAAATTTCATAAACTTATTAAACTTAATAAAATTATTTAACTTCATAAACTTAACAAACTTAATAACTTAATAACTTAATAAGTTATTAAACTTAATATACTTAACAAACTTAATAAACTTAATGATTTATTAATTTTAATACATCTTATTAAGTTTAATAAATCTTATTAAGTTTATAAAGTTTATTAAATTATTTTGTTTATTAGTTTTAGGATTCTAGCTTATTAAACATAATAATTTTTAAAAACTTAATAAACTTTATAAACTTAATAAGATTTATTAAACTTAATAAGATGTATTAAAATTAATAAATTATTAAGTTTATTAAGTTTGTTAAGTATATTAAGTTTAATAACTTATTAAGTTTATAAGTTATTAAGTTTGTTAAGTTTATTAAGTTTATGAAGTTTAATAATTTTATTAAGTTTAATAAATTTATTAAGTTTAATAAATTTATTTAGTTTAACAAAAATATTAAGTTTATTAAGTTTATTAATTTTATTAAGTTTAAAAAAATATTATGTTTATTACGTTTATTAATTTTATTAACTTTAATAATTAAAATCAATTAAGTTTATTAAGTTTCATAAATTACGGATTGACCCCATTAACTTAGCTTAAGAAAAATTAAATCCGATTGTGATGTTGCCACCATAATATCATTTACTTCGTACATGTGGCATGTATTAACATATACTTCGTGTAGTTCTTAACACATTTTTATACATTGGATGGTTTCACCATATTAGTGTAAACTTCGTGTAGCTGAGAAACTTTTTCCCATATTAAAGCTCTAGCTAAATCATTACATAAGAACACATGTAATGTTAGTGTGAAGAATGGTACGTAACATCTGTTTTCCTTTATGAGTATTGCATATATATACTCGGACTATATGAAAGTAAGAATTTAAAGGTTGTTTTTTCTTTATAAATTTCTAATAATTGTTATTCAATTTATATGGTGTCAGCTTTGTGTTGTATGATTGAACCAGATATTGCCCCATGACACCTTTTCGCTTGATAAGAAAGACGCCATTCCAATCGCTATGATGAAGAACTTCACCTTTTTCTAATTATAAACAAAAGAGAAACGCATAAGCCAGAAAAGAATATTCATCATAGAATACAATAGAAAAAAAAAGTTATTTCAATAACCGTCCCAAACCACCACTTTATTTCAATGGAAAGATGTTTTGCTCTGAAATTAGTTTATTTCAATATCTTTACAGGAGTGAGTAGAAACAAATCTCAACACTTTCATCGTACAGTTAAATTCTAACAGAACACTGATATGTTGCTCTCTAGATGCACACGCAAATTACACCGCAAGCATATTGCTACATGGGTTATATGACTTTGTAAAAATCCTCTATATATTTATATATGAACTATGTTTTCTTGTAAATATGTTCACTCGTGAAAGTTGCATGTGAACTTTATAAGTATTGGCAAAATTTTGAACGTTATCATTGGCTGAATCCTCAGAAAAGCTAATTACGAAGTTAACACCATAGATCGATTCGTTAAAATTGTATTGGAGGTTACGGTCCTTACAGAGGCATAATGAACATTGAATTATTCAAAAATGATTGATAGCTAATAATTAATATCCAAGCTAATTACTATTAGTATACAAATTGAATAAATTATCGGTGACCGTGTTCCAAGGGAGACGAGGAGCGAGCCAGCCCGCAGTTTGCAAACCTCACGTGCGTAAACCTTCTTGCAAGATTCTTCTTAGACTTATGTTTCTACATGCCCACGTTGCTACTCTTGTCGTTTTCACATTCACCGCTTCAACTACTCGCCGTCTCACTTTCGTCACCAAATCATTTTTTATTAAGCTTGTAATCTGTCCGTTTTGACAACTTACCAGTAGTATTACTTTAAGTCTTTAACTATTCCACAATAAAACTTTCGTCTCCGGTACTCCCAAAGTCCAGCGTCTATATCGAGATTGATATAGCAAAAACTATTAACTACACACATATTAAGAAAATATGATTATTTTGTTTAATTGAGGATTAAGTAAATGAGGTTAGAATAATGAGTGAATGTGTGACACCAAGTATACAACTAGACGTCACGGTTGTATAATTGTCTCCTACAAGTGAGTCAAACTTTAGGCCTTTTGACCATTAATCTTTGCCTTCGACGACAATCTATTCCGTTTTGGTTCCTTCATTTGTTTTTGCTGTGCATAACTAAGCGTTGGTAATTGAATAATAAACTCTTATTGAGCTCGTTAACTGAAATTCAGTCATGGAAAATAGGAAATAAATCATTAATTTATATCCGAATCAGAGACTGACAGCCATTTAATTAATTTAAATACTCAATATTTAATTAGAGTTTGACTCAAATGTCTTCATAAATTATTATCAGTGTAGAATAATTTTTAAAATGGTAATTATCAAAAGCCACATGACAGCTCTCTGAATATTAGATATAACAAATCAAACCATACAAAAGGTTGATGATTTGTTTCCCATTACACCAGTTTTAACTTCCGTTGAATATATTTTTCTTTCCAATTTTAGTTAATAGTATCCTTTTTTCATTTGACCATAGTAGATAAAAATAAAAATAAAAATAAATCTTACTGTTTCAGAATAATTAAAAAAACGGACAAGTATTTAAAGATGATTTTCGAGAGACTTGTTTTCAAAATGATTTTCACCTTTACTTCTTATGTAATGGTAGATTTTAATGATTATTTTTAGATGTTGAATTATTTGGTTGTTTAATTTTGAATCTCTTGTTTTTAATTTTGAACTTTTGAAAGTATGTACAAATTGTGGTTTTTCTTTGAATTTTTTATATGTTTTGCAGTAGTCTCTAGTGTCCATTTTCAAAGTATTGTAAGTTTGCTACATTGCTGTTTTAGGTTTAAAACAAGAACTAATATTGTGGTTGCATAAAACAATAGTAGTATTAAACATTGAAATTAAGCGTAAGCATTTAAAACTTTGCCACCTTGAATATTTAAAATGTAATTTTCATTTTGAAACTAAATCAAGAATTGAAACTGTAAGCATAATAAAATTAGTATATGTAACTAGACCTACCAGACTTCCACTGCGAAATTATTTAAAACAAGACGAAAGTATAATTTATTTATTTTCACCGCTCGTTTAGGTAAAAAGTGATATTTACTTTTTGACCTCATAAAAAAGTTGACTATAAATAAACAACATTACTATTTCCTCTCATACCTCTCCCTTGCCAGACGGCGTTGCCTTACAAAAACCTGACAAGAGAAACAGAGAGAGAGAAAGCTTTCAGACCATTTCTTACTTTTACCAATCTACCCTCATAACTGATAACTGCAAACACGGTTTTGTCTTCTTCTTTCTTCTTTGTTTTACATTTGTATAAACCGAAAAAAAAAAACTCCGAACGAAGAGATATAAATGATCGACACCGGAAGATACCTAATCGGCGCCGCCGGTGCTAGTGGCTTCGGCTCTAAATCCACCGCCGATGAGGTAACCGAGAACTGCGACCTTCGTAATACAACAGCGATAATCACCGGTGAGTTTTTTTTTTTTTTTTTAGTTTTCTGGTGGCTCGTGTCGCTGGAAAAGTTCTCTCATTGTCTCTGTTGTTGATTTGGTGAAGGTGCGACGTCAGGGATCGGAGCGGAGACGGCGAGAGTGCTGGCGAAACGAGGAGCGAGGCTGATATTGCCGGCGAGGAACGTGAAAGTGGGTGAAGAAGCGAAAGCGAGGATCGTCTCTGAGTTTCCGGAGACGGAGATTGTCGTCATGGAGCTTGATCTCAGCTCTATGTCTTCCGTACGGTGCTTCGTTGCCGGTTTCGAATCTCTCCATCTACCTCTCAACCTTCTCATGTAAGACTCAAAGCTCGTTTTAAAACTTTTTTTTCATAATTAAGTTGTGTGTTTATAATTGCTTAATTTATAGTAGTATTAAACCAAGTTTGTTTAATTTTTGAATGCATGTAAATATATTTACACACACATACGTGCAAACATAATTTAATTATGATTCTTAATCTTTCTTTGATTTAAATGCGTTTCTCTCTGATTTTTTGTTTTTAAATATGCAATCAGAAACAATGCAGGCAGATTAGCACATGAACATGCAATAACAGAAGACGGGATCGAGATGACATTTGCCACTAATTATCTTGGTAATTATTTTCTTTAAATACGATTCCAATAGTCTATGACAGATCTTAACTACACATTGTAAATGTATACAGATATGATCACCATTTGTTAATAGCCGATCTTAAATCATTTTAATAATTTCAAATTTTGCAGGCCATTTTCTCTTGACCAATCTCTTGATAAAGAAAATGATCCAAACGGCAGAAGAAACAGGAGTTCAGGGAAGGATCGTTAATGTCACGTCCGGTATTCATGGCTGGTTTACCGGCGACTTGATCGAATATCTCCGGCTGATTTCCCAACCTAAATGGTATGGTTCTCTTACTTTCTGTCATCAATAGAACAATAACATTCTAAAACTCTAAATGATCTAGTATGTTACATATCTACAATTCACATGTGTTCAATAGCTAGAACTATAAATCAGAGAGTAGGCTTGGTGTTGCTGGATTTGCCTTTTTACCAAAGGAAAAAGCTGTATATATGTTAAATTTTTTGACTGATGAGTGACACTAAGTTGATGGGAGGGGTAATAAATGTGAAAAGGAGGTAAAGTGTTTTGACATTTTGACATAATAACCTTTTTTTCTTCTTATGTTGGGGTTGATGATCGAATAGTCAATTCGATGCGACACGTGCGTATGCTCTCTCGAAGCTCGCCAACGTTTTGCATACCAAGGAGCTCTCTTCTAGACTCCAGGTCTCTTTCTCTCCTTCCTCTCTCTCTCTCTCTCACTTATTTTCATTCTCCAATTAATTTCACCTCCCCCCAAAAATTAAAAGCATATGGTAGAACTTAATAACAGTGTGAAAGGTATGGGAGGAAAGGGGACAACAAGAAACCTAGATAACTAGGATTTGTATTCTAACTAATTATATCAAAAGAGTTAGTTAAGCTTTGACTATTGACCATAGTTAAGATTAAGACAATCATGTGGGCCTTTTAAATAAAGTGATTAAACTATAATATAAAAATAGAATTTTAATGGAAAAGAAAAAAATTGCAGAAAATTGGAGCCAACGTGACTGTTAACTGCGTACACCCAGGGGTTGTAAAAACCCGGTTAACAAGAGATCGGGAAGGCTTATTGACAGGTTGGTTTTATCATAATTTTTAGTAGGTTGGTTTATCTTAAATAAATATCATAAACAAGTAAGATTCGTAATTATGTCTAAATGATTATCCTTTGTCTTTTCCTACTCAGATCTCGTCTTCTTCCTGACATCCAAGCTTCTTAAGACCGTTCCTCAAGTAATACATTGTTTTTTTATAGATAATTGTAATTGATATAACATAATCTGTGCTGTATAAGTTATCCTTTTCGTTTATTAATTTATGTGCTACTTTTGTTTAATTTGTGGCATGTGATTAGGCTGCTGCAACGACGTGTTACGTGGCAACGAATCCAAGGTTGGTGAATGTATCGGGGAAGTACTTTACGGACTGCAATGAAACGACACCTTCTGGACTCGGATCTAACTCCTCCGAAGCTACAAAGTTATGGGCAGCCTCTGAGGTTCTGGTAACTCAACATTCCAAGGCCACTTTCGACCCATTTAGCTAAAAAAGCTGAAGTAATTATCTTATTTTATATTCCCTTAGGGAAAAGATATAAATCTAATTAGCATAAAAAATATTATGAAGTTTAGTTAATTCCCCGAACATATACTGGTATCAAGGATATTTTAACCATATGTAGATGATATATATACAGCTAGTGTTCTATTTCTATAGTACTAATGCGAAACTGATGTACATTAAAAAGTATTTGAATATTAAGCTATATGATATATGAAATTGATATACTGAACTTCTTTTTCATAGTTCTTTCTTTTTTGATTAATTAAAGAAAGAAATCATGATGTAAAGCTCGACTTGGACTATTATACTAACCTTAAAATATTTAAAGTTAAGTGGAAAATCATAATGTCAATCATTAGTTTTCGAAAGTGCTCCGAAGTTATGCTCATCTTTTGATATACTTCTTGTGATTAACCCATTTGGACGGATCTGTCAGAACTCTCTTTCTTTTTGACATTAATTACTTCGTACTTCGTATCCATGTGAGGTACCAAAAAGAAGCCCGGCTTTCCATCACTTAGCTTGGTGTTACGAGCGATGCTATTTGAATGCCGATTTCTAAATCCATATTTGTTGATAAAACCTATACTATACAAACATGGTGTGATTGCAAAAAGTATCAAAAGAAATAAAAATGGAAAAACAAGATGTTTGAGGAGAAAAAGATAGATGGGAATCGGTTAGATTGGGGAGTTTAAGATATAGGTCAATATAAAATGGCGCATGGTAATACTTTTGCGCATGGGTCTTATATCTCTTTTCTTTTTATAAAAGAGACCCTACTAACATGCTCCAGGGGTTTTCATTTCTAAAAAGAAATTCTCGTGCGTCATCAAATTGCTCTGTTCTTGCGAGTTTTAATCATTAAACAAAGTAAAGAAGAAAAGGGGAAGAAGGCTGGTTCAAAGAAGAGAGAGAGAGTTTCGAACCTAAACAATGCACGTACAAAATGTACACACCTAGTTAGTTATAAGACCGCATTAGTGTTATAATAATCTAGCAAACATGCGTGAGTTTCTAAAATTGTTCACGTATTTTAAGTGTATGTGTACAATGTGGTAGCTTGCGCAATGCACTGGTGCTTGAAAAACAATGTGTATGCTTTTTTTTTGTCAACTATCCATCTTGAAAGAAAAAAAAACTATCCATCTTGATCTTACATAGTTTTTCAACTTCTGGGTATTTTATTGGTTGGTTGGTCGTTAAATAATGGGAACCCTCTACTATTTGAAACTTAAGTTTTGAGTTCATCTATACCACACTATTTTATTTTCTAACCTAGGTGTGCTATAATCTATTATGGGCTTTAGGAATAACATTTAGTAGGCTTTTACAAGCCCAAGAGTATTAAAACGTTGATGATTCGTTTCATACAAGCAACCGTCAAATATCAAGATAATTATGAACTAAAGAACTCTCTACAGAAAAATCTGCTTGTCGAAGTAGTAATCTTTTCCTCCTTACCCGCCGATAGTATTTAAAGACACAACTATACACAAATTCTACAAGTACAGAATCTAAATATGTCCCAGTTTAAGTTTCTTGTTTAGAAAGAACGCTATAATCGTTACGACCGTAGAATATAGAAGAGAAACAAATAAAGGTCCTGCAGTGCATACTATAGTTGCACTATACCCACTGGCTAGACCTGCACAAAAATTCTGGAATAATAGTTCCCATATATTCATATTCGATCAGTATGAGCTAAGAGCTATCAAACTTTTTTGTATCCAAATGAAAAGGCATAGCTTAGATATATTGTTTGGTGCAAAGTTGTTTTGTCGCGGGTTTGCATTTTGGATGATGAGTTGTTAAGGTGAGGATTTGTCCACAAGCGCTGACATGGACCGCACTTTGAAAGATGCTATCCACGCACTTCGTTGGACCCATAAGTAAATCCAACGGTTCAGATTCGGTGGACCTTTTCTTCGGCCAGAATTATCAGCAAAGGCACGCGCATGAGGAAACGCGGGACCCAACTCCACCGGCCACACTTCGTAATAACCGTTCATTAATCAGCACCGGTCAACTCAAGTTACGACACTTGTCACCATCTATGATTACTGC